TTTGTCACATATATATATATATATATATATATATATACATATATATGTATATATATATATATAAAAATTTTTAGTGAAATACTGATTAGTTTCTGAAAACAAACTGAGATATTATAGATCACCAATCATAAAAAAAATATTTTATGTTAGGTTTACGACAATGTTAATAAATCTGTGACAGATGAAAAGTGTAAAATAACCGGTCAAACAGTGAAGTAAGTGAAATGAATATATAAACAATAATATAAAACAATATTATATAATAAATTATTCAAATTATTATATGAATTATATCTTTTAAAATTGTTTGTAGAAATCTTTAAAAAAATTAATAATTCATGTGAACATACCTTTTATTATTTTTTTTAATCATTATTATATTAATTAATTTAATCATTTTTATATTATTTTTATCAATAGATGCTTATAATATATAAAATTATATTTTTAATATTATTAATAATATTATATAATTGCTACATAATAAATATTATTTCTTGTTAATTATTATCTATATATATATTATATATGTATTATATGTTTACAGAAAATTATTAACATGGCTTTGCGTACATATGGTGATAAACCTATAAGTTTCCAAGTGGAAGAAAATGGAGAATATTATTGTATTGGATCTGAAGTAGGCAATTATTTACGCCTATTTCGAGGATCATTATATAAACGTTATCCTGGAATGTTTAGAAGATCTATTACAAATGATGAACGAAAAAAATTAGTAGAACTTGGTTTAAGTCAACATGTACTTGCATCCAGTGTATCTCTTTTAAGAGCTAGTGAAGTAGAAGATATTATTGAAGGCAATGATGATAAATATAAAGCTGTATCAGTACATTCAACAGAACCTCCAGCTCCTAGAGAAGGAAAATCAAAAAAATCAATGCCTTGGGTTCCTAGTTTACCAAATAGTTCACATTTGGATGCTGTACCTCAAGCTACACCAATTAATCGTAATAGAGTACATAATAAAAAAGTCAGAACATTCCTTTATGGTAAATATTATGATAAATTTTTTCTTTTCCATGTATAAGCATATATTTGAAAGATAATTTTTATTTTATAAAAATTGATGATTTATATATAAAACAATATAATTAAATATTATTTATCAATATTATTAATATTATAATAAATATTAAATAATTAGTAAATATCTCTATCTATTTTTTTAGTTTTGATGACACAGATCCATCAGCAAATTTGGAAAATGCAGCTCAACAAGAAATGTTAGTTCCAATCCGTTTAGATATGGAAATTGAAGGACAAAAATTGAGGGATACTTTTACATGGAATAAAAATGGTATGATTTATTACATACTAATTATAATCACATAAATATATGTTAAAATCATTAATTAATATAATCTTTTACATGATATAAAAATTAATTTATATTAAAAATTATGTATGTGTGCGTGTGTATGCATATGTGTGTAAATAGTTCATTACAGAAAAATGTAAAATTAATTAAAAACTGCAAATGGTTCAATTATTATTTGGAAGAAATAAAGAGTTCAAATGTTATTTAATGTTGTAAAATATTAATTTATAATGTAAACTATTTTTTAAATATTCAAATTATTAAATATTTAGAGATAATAAATTAGAAATAATTGATAAGTTAACTTAAGTTAAAATACAAATTTTTTTCATTTTATTATCCACAATTATAAATTTATAATCTTTATCTTCATTAGTTCATTATACACACTTATCTATGCATATATATATATATATATACAATAAAACTAAATTTTTTCCTTTCAGAAAGTCTTATAACTCCAGAACAATTTGCTGAAGTATTATGTGATGATTTAGATTTAAATCCATTAAGTTTTGTACCAGCTATTGCACAAGCTATAAGACAACAAATAGAAGCTTTTCCACAAGAAACAATATTAGAAGATCAATGTGATCAACGAGTTATAATTAAGTTAAATATACATGTAGGCAATACATCTTTAGTAGATCAAGTAGAATGGGATATGTCTGAAAAAGAAAACAATCCTGAAAAATTTGCAATGAAACTTTGTGCTGAATTAGGACTTGGTGGTGAATTTGTTACTGCTATTGCTTATAGGTAAATTTAAATTATTTGCATATTTTATTAAATATATTAATATTAAAATTCATTGATATTAATTTTAATAAAATTTATTTATTATATAGTGTACGTGGACAATTATCATGGCACCAAAGAACTTATGCATTTTCTGAAGCACCTTTACCTACAGTAGAAGTACCTTTCAGACCACCTTCAGAAGCTGATCAATGGGCACCATTTTTAGAAACATTAACAGATGCAGAAATGGAAAAGAAAATACGCGATCAAGATCGAAATACACGGTAAATATTATATAATTTATACTTATAATTATAATAATTATAAAAATTAACACATGATTTAATGATTTAATGATTTAATGATGAAATTTAATGATTTAACAATGTTTTAATGATTTTTGTTCTAGACGTATGAGACGTTTAGCAAACACAACACCTGGATGGTAATATGTAAATTAATAACAAATTACAACATATATTTGTAGATTCAGAAGATATCCATTTTTATTATTTTTAGAATTTTTTAAACTTTGAATATAATAATAAAACTTTATGTTAAAATTTAAATAAAAAATAAAGTACATTTTAATACAAATTTATACATTTATCAAAATTACAATATAACTAGTTAATATAAAAACTTATCTATTATAAAAAAGCATTCCTATCTTTTCATAATCATTCCCTCTTTACATGTTCTTATTTGTATATGATGATCTTATATAACAAGAAATAAAAAATAGTTCTTGATAATCTATTTAATTTTAACTGTTGAAATGTATGTCATGTGATCATATAATGAAACATTCATAATATTGATAAGAATTTAAAATGATTTTTATTAATGTAGATCAAACTAATCTGAAATATTTCACTGTTTAAAAATATTATAAAACAAAATGAAATATATTTAATTATTAAATGAATTAAATAAATAATTTATTTTATTCCTGTCATTAATTTTGATTATTTTAATAATATTTTAGTATTTATATAATAAAAAAAAATAATTTTATAACTTTTTAAAAATTATACATAATTATATTAGTACATAATTAACATTATTATTGTTATATTATATTATAAATTATTGAAATAAATTATCGAATAAATTAATAAAAATATTAATATTAAATTAAATAAAAAAAATAAAAAAGATTAAATAAAAAAGAAAAATTTATGAAATATAATATATAAAAAGATTATAAATATAATCTATAAAATCATGCTTTGATTTAAAATATTTTGATATTTATTTTGAAATTTTTTGATATTTGAAATTAAAATAATATATTACTGATAAAAGAAATTTTGGTCATTGTACTCATAATCGCCTGTTTTATCATTATAAGACATCATTTATAAAATGTAAGTGTGAGTAAAAGAAATTGATTGAGGAAGGGATACCTACGCGTATCGAAATGTACTGAGTCAGTATGTAGTACTGACATTAATCGACTCAGTTCACTTTTGACGTCTAACAGAACTGCTAGTAATAAAAAATAGATTTAAAAGATGGATATTAGTTTATTAATATATAAATTATTGCAACAATCAAGTACAACTTCAACATTCCAAAATAATCCATTTCCTCATAGACCTTGGCTTACTGATACTGGAGTTGCTGCAGCCGCTGCCAAAGGCGGTGTCAAAGGAATCGTGGCTGGTATTTACATTATATACATACATTTTTTTTTATATTTTCTATATTAATAATTTTAATAATTTTTTAATACAATTAATATTTTTATTTAAATAATTTCTTAAAATATAATATGGCAACAAATAAAAAAATATTAAAAATAAAAAAAAAAAATAAACCGAATTCATGAATCAAAAATATGAAATATTTAACTTTGGAAGCATAAATTAAAATTAATTTTTTAATTTAATTTATAATATTTTTCATTATTAATGAATATATATCATATATTTTTTTCAAATACTTTTAATAATTTTAGATTAAATTTTTTTATTTTTAATTAATTTTTAATAATTTTCTAATAAATTAAATATTATAAATATTATAAATAATATAAATATAATATAAAATATTAATAATATACGAATTTTTTAGGAGGTATTACTGGTGGTATAGAAATATGTATTACTTATCCAACTGAATATGTAAAAACACAATTACAACTTGATGCAAAAAGTGGAGTTGATAAGCAATATACAGGAGCATGGGATTGTATAACAAAGACTATAAAAAACCGTGGATTTTTTGGTTTATATAGAGGTCTTTCAGTATTACTTTATGGTTCAATACCAAAATCAGCTGTACGCTTTGGTTCTTTTGAAAAGATGAAAGAATTATTAGCAGATCCAGATGGAAAACTTACTAAAAAAAATAGTTTTCTAGCAGGTTTATGTGCTGGTACAGCTGAAGCTATTTTTGCAGTTACTCCTATGGAAACTATTAAAGTAAAATTTATAAATGATCAACGATCTCCTAATCCAAAATATAAAGGATTTCTTCATGGAGTAGGAATGATCACAAAAGAATATGGTAAGTAGAATAATTATTTCAAATAAAAAAAATTTATATTAAAAAATGATCATAATTATTATTCATATATTTTTTAATTTTATATAATTTAAAAAAATTGATGTTTCATATCATTGAATAATCTAATATAAAAAATTTATCTTGAATTAATTTTACATAAGGTTAGGTTATTCTATCATGATTTTTAGTTTATATAGTTTCTTAAATTTTCTATTTTTAATCTTATGATATTTATATTTTACATATTTTTTATTATATTATACATATTTATGCATTTTTTATTATATTATATAATATTATATGAAGTCTAATCATATGTACATAGTAATTACAAGTAAGTTTGCCAGAAGTAGGAAAAATATAGTCGCACGAAAAAGTGATGATACAGCTAATATAGTAAGTTATAGAAGGGGAATAGGTTAGCTTATTCGTGGAGATTTGGACTTATGATGTGATGCGATGTGACGTTTTTCTATTAATATGTGAATATATAATTCGTGACGTTTGAAATAAAGAGTATTAGTACCACTAATTTTCGCATGATGTGCTGAAGTCGCATAATGTGTACAGTTTCATAACAGTTATTTTTGTTTATGATGAAAAACTATGTGATAATACATATAAATTATATTTAATACATATAATGTAAATTTTTTAATTTTTTATTAGGTATCAGAGGCATATATCAAGGATTAGTTCCTACAATTTTAAAACAATCATCGAATCAAGCAATTAGATTTTGTACTATAGAAACATTGAAGGATTGGTATAGAGGTGGAAATAAAGATGTAGTTATACCAAAAGTAGTTACTGGTATTTTTGGTGCAATTGCTGGAGCATTTTCTGTTTTTGGAAATACTCCAATTGATGTTGTAAAAACCAGAATGCAGGTAAACATTTCATTTTTATTAATCTTTAATGGATATATATCGGATATAACAATATATCATTTCTGACATATCATTTTTACACAAATATCAGAACAATAACATCTGATAAAGATTAAGTTATAAATTTTGTTTTATAGATTCTATATTTTATCACAACATATTTAATATATATAATATTTTCAGGGCTTAGAAGCCGCAAAATATAAAAATAGCCTGGATTGTGTAAGACAAATATGGATAAAGGAAGGCCCAATGGCATTTTATAAAGGAACTATTCCAAGATTAAGCAGAGTATGTTTAGATGTTGGCATAACATTTATGATTTATGATTCTTTCAAAGAATTATTTGATCGAATTTGGCCTTGAAAATTATTAATTTTACAATTGCATATTTTGAAATGTTACTGCAAATGTAGTTTTCATAATGTTATTATTATATTCTTTTTTTTTATATTTATTTAATAACATGTCTATAACAGTACATGGTTAAAAAATATTTTTATTTTAAACATAACATTTATATACCAAAATTATATATATATATATGTTTTATTATATTTATTTTAATAACATAAAAATTAAAAAAATATATTGAAGATTTTCAATTTTGATATTAATTTTTTGTTATTGAAAACTACATTTGTACAAGCACAAATTCCATTATATATAAATACATATATTTTTATATAAATTTTTATTTAATATGGATCATTTATATAGAGAAGAAAACATAATGTGAATTTAATTCACAATTTCAATTTTATTAAAAGATATTGTCTTTATGTTGATTATAAGCATTAGTTTATAAATTTTATTTAATGTTTTATTTTCTAACTATTATTAGACATTCCTATACATTTAATAAATATTTATATTATATTATTATATATTAAAACAAATATTTATATTATAAAAGTGTTTTGTATGTATAATATATATATATATATCTTTCTAAGAATATTTTAAATTTTAATACAAAAATATAAAAAAATGTTAATTAAAATAATGAAAATAAAAAAATTTTATTATATGAGCGAAGAAAAATAGTTGACTTTTTCAATTTAGTAATATTTATATAATTAAAATTTTATAATTAGCCATTTAAATTTATTAAGAAATTGTAAAAGATTATTAATTAAAATTATCTTTATATATATTTATAT